TGGAATGCTCAAAAACGTCTTGACGCTTTATGCGAGGGCGGAGGATAAAAAACATTATCATTCCATATTTGTAACTGAGTTAATCATACGTTACTAAACCCATACCAGTTCCTTACGACTGAAATATGACGCATACATTCGATTCTAATAAATAAGTTCATCAAAGCCGTATATGCGCGCGACTTCGGAAACATTTGCCATGAGAGATTCGAGCTGAAAGAGGCCCACGACGATCATAGATTTTCTGAATTATCTGTTGAATTATCTGAAACGCTGATCATGATGGATCATATCATATGTAGTCAGAGCTCTTCTCCATATAAAACTGTTCACCAATAAAACTACAGATGACCTCACATTTTAAAAACGGGCAGAGCCGGCCATGCGCGTCTCGCTTCTGCCTGTACTTCTTAACAACTCGGACTAGGGGAGAAATATTTTCCATAAAAGTTACATCAATGGCGGCAGCCAAACAGTAAGAGGATCATGAACAAAGCATCTTTTTTGTTTAACCTTGTATATATCAGGTCATTTGAAAGGTTCTGTCGTTTTTTGACATCTCACAGTTGGATACTTTATTTGCTTATTATTCCAACCAACCTTCGACATGAAAACAGTTTTGAAAAGCTTCACTTGCTCTACCTAATAGCTAGGTCACCTTTCCCCAAAACATTCTCTTATAATTCTTCGAAACTTCGAGTTTGGCACACTCAGTGAGCAATTTTACATGATTTCCTTTTTCTTGCTCAGAATAGCCATGGAAGAAAGGAAGCAGGCCAAGATATTAAAGATACACTCGGCCCGAATCTGTAATAAATGCGCTTCGGAGCTATCGTAGAACGTTTTTGTGGTGATAACGAGAGTCTTGAAGATGACGAAGGTGGTGGTCGGATCTCTCACGTTATTAGCCGAAAGCTCTAGTTGAAACACTCGTGCACATCACTATTACTATTGGAAAGGATCCACCAATACTGATTGTAACGGAATCTTGGTTAAAGTGGAAGCAGTTGGGAAGTCTAAAATATGTTATGAGGGCGTGCTGCGACAAGTCACTAATTTGAAGTGTCGACCATCAAGATTCTAGCTTGATTTAGGTGATAGGCGCTTTTTTCACTGAAGTGTGACGTGTGAAGTAGAGCAGGATCTGTTGATAACAGTATGCAGTCGCTATTACACTAGAAAACATTGCGGGTAAGCCTTAAATGACTCAAAGGCACCGAAGTCCACACATCTGTGTACACAATTTGCTCAAGTTCATACATCACGCAAGGCGGGCCGAACATTCTGACAGGGGTCTTGAAGAATAGCAAACAACTAACCCCGCATAAGTTGAGCCGGGCTACGGAATAATGGAACAACGCCTTACTTAAAGGACCTCCTGCCTCAAATGGCACTTCCGAGGACCTCAATAAATCTCGGGAAGAGAAATGCCTTTAAACCCACTACGCTGTTGGACGCCTGAACGTTCCTGGAGCTCCGCATATCGTGGAACAACGGGACGAAATCGAATAGTATTCTATTGGCAACGGTTTGGTGATTCTAACAGTCTTCAGTACTTTTGAAGATATGTTGCCTATGACTAGATATGTGCCCCTTAGAATCGCGGTCGGAAAACGACAAAACTTTTTGAGCACCTAATATTTGGGTCGCAAGGTGCTCTCTACGCTATGTAAAGTAAATTAGGAGAGCTTACTGACAAAAATGGCCTTGGGAAGTCCGAGATGAACTAGTCGATAAAGTTTTGTTTTTGCTCTCGAAGTGGGCGGGACTTCAAAGCGGTGGAGGTATGATATAGGCGGTTGTCAAATCGCATAGACGATTAAGCGCACAGCATTGAGATGGACGTATCGATGTCCTGGTCCTAGGGACAGTATACATCGACACGTATACGTTGATTCGTCGCGCAATAGTCGGTTTTGTGATCGTTACGCCTTTGAAGGCATTTTTTCAGATGCCTTTGGACGTGAGCTAGGTTAGAGCATCTTTCCACCCCATTATTATCCAAAGTAGAACCTTCAATCACCCAGCGAGAAGCAACTTCTTCTAGTGTTGTTTCCATTTTTCAGATCGACGACATTTTCATCACTGGAGTGCTCACTGAAGCAGCTAATGTCAGTATTGATGGTTCGGAGGCAATTAAAGTTTTCAAGCGAAATCCAGAAGTACCGGAATTTAAGGAACAGTTCTTTCTGACAGACAAACAGTACACTAGTTACTGGTTTCATGTTATCAATTACAAATTGCTGACGTAAGCCATTTGCGAAACCCTAGTATGAAGTGTTGTTGCTATCGGCTTCGGATCAATTGATGTGTTCCGTTTTATAGACCACGCAATCTGGACCAATATTCAGTCCGACCCGTTGGATGCAGGAGAATAAATATTATGACAGGCTATTTCAGTGCGGATGTCGGTTCAAGTCATTCTCCCAGCGGTTCTGCCAAAAGCATGCAAATGCTTGGTGGCTTGACGGCGCAAGAACACCCGTTCTTCGCCACTACTCGCCAGTACTGAACTGTTTGTCAGGGATCTGATCCGACTCCATCTTTCCGAGCGCCACCCTTCCTGCTTTGAATTACCGTAGATATTTTTGCCCTTCGCGGGATCCACCTACTTCCTCGAAACGGCTGTAACCACCTGGCGCGGGCGCGAACGATTTTTATATATTAGGTTCAGAGCGATAATTCAGTACAGAAGACACATCTTATTTCTAGTATGTTGTAGTAAATATTCAGTGTTTCGTTTGATATGAGTTCGGACAGGGATGGTCCGCCCACGTTTTCAGTCTTTCAAAGAAAAGTAGGTTCTTGAAGTGCTCCTCTTTTTCAGCGCTGCACTACGTACATCGTCACGGTATACCCACTTTCAAATTCGTTCGAGGAGATCGAAGAACAACTTGGAAATCATGAACGATCTACCTCTACTTGCTGCACAACTCGTAAATATTAGGTTGAGGAAAAAAGTCTTCGTCGAAATTTCGCCTTTATTTCAAACACTCATTTTTGATACAATAGGATTATTGCTGTCGCGACCGCGCCGTCGGAGGCGGGGCTCTGCCCTAATAGGCTCCCCCATAGGATTTCTCAATTCTGTGTTTCCGAAGTGTGAAGAGCGCTAGCATAAAATTTAACCTCTGAACCGCGTGCTCACAGTTATACTGGAGGTGCTGCACATCTTGGTGCATCGGCCGTCACGAAATAAACGTGGTGCCCGTTGGACAATTCCTGCCTTGTGCCGGATTGTGAAGCCTGGCGAGTGGCCAGGGATGATCCCGCCACATTGCCGATTTTGAGCACAGAAGTACCTCCTGACCCCAGCGGTCAAAGTCCGAAAGTACAGAAATGTCGCTTTATTTTCACAGAGTAAATCTGAGCCACGTCAAGAAAAACTTGGCAGCACAAATCGATACATTTCGGGTATTCAGTAGGGAGCCACAATATCCAGAAAGTGTAAAAGAGCGCAGTGACTTTTGCAGAGCGCAGTGACTTTTGCCTGAGAACAATCGCTGCAATCGAAAATCCCATCACC